ATTGGTTTTGGTTTTAATTAAAAAATTATTTCTATATTTTTTAATTTTTTTAATTTATTAATTGTTATTTTATTGATTTTAATCATTAAAAAATTAAAAATTACTCAAGTAAATAAATAATTTGATAGAAAGTGACCAAAAAACTTAAAACAAAGCTAAAATCTTTAAAAATTTTATATAAAAAGGTTTTAGGCAAAATTTTTTTCTATACTCACCATAATCGTCAATTTTTTAATTTTAAACTGAACTATCAAAACTCAAACTAGTTGAAATTGATTCGGTTAATTTTTTAATTAAAAAAATTTAAAACTCAGTCAAACTCAACCCATTGATTATAATTTTCATTGGTTTCAAATTTTTTTCCAGTTGTAAATTTTTCTACTCACCCCTAATAGTTTAGTGCTTATTTAATAATGTTGTTGTCATTTATTTTTGTTTCTTTAATTTTTCGGAACTAATATTATCTAAAGTAATTTAGTAATTAAAATAACTAAATTAATAGTAGAGATAGTCGACTAGAAGCCCCTTTTTTTGTAGAATATTTTCTTTAAAATCCCAAAAAATAGGGGTACGGTGGACTATGGTTCCAGAAGAATTTGACATCGAGCAAAATGTTTCCTTTATTATTCTTTCTTTTCTTTTCCGACTTCCTAAGATTCTTATTTTAGAGAAACCTAACCCAAATCTGCCTTCATTAGGAATAGAATTGGGCCAAAAAAACCGATCAGAACGGGTTACAGATCACCGACCCAAACTTCTCTGTTTGGTTTGGATCAATCGGGTTTTAGGCCCAAGACTTCAGGTTCACCCTAACACCAAACTTATACGGTTAGGATTTGGTGGGCTCGGCCGAAATTGAAAAGCAGATGGCCCACCGAATAACCGAACTATCTTAATTAATTTTGAACATTTTTAGTTTTTGAATTTTTTTTATTTGTTTCCCCGAAACTATATAAAAAAAACTATAGTTTTTTAGTCATTTTATTAGTTAATTTGTTTATATATGTATATCTTATCTTTAAACTTATAATATATGTATATTTTTAATCTTTGGATATAAAAATTTAAAAACTAAAAACGTGTATATATAAATAAACTTAAAAGATTAACTAATTGAAGCACAAAAAAATACATTTTTCATAATTTAACGATTATAAAAGTATAAAAAATAATTTAAAAACTAAAAATATTTAAAATTAAAAGTTTAAAGACTAAAAATAACATTTAATAAAAATAAAAATAAATAAATAAATAAAAGGGCTAATGAGGAAAGTTATTTGTGCGGGTATACAGATCTCCTTTTGTGTTGCCTTGCGTGAATCAAGGTAAACTAAGCCCATCCTTTTTAATTGAATCAATTGTTTGACCTTTTATTTGTTGAATTCCTGGTTTAGAGTCTCGATCACACCAAATGATAAAACATAACAAAAACTATTAGATGAAAATAATTTCCAATATCAAAAAAAAAAAATTATTTAGTAACTTATATTATACGATTTATTATAATTTAGATTGTATAATATTATTTTTTTGTTATTTTTTTACTCTTCACCCTGGAGTAAATAAA